GTTACCAATTTCGACTGTCTATGATTGACAATACTGGTAAACATTGTAGCCATTGTTTGCGATTCTCTCAGTTATCTTATAAAGTTAAATGCATTATACGCAATGCATGCTGGGAGACACTAACATCTCTGCTGTCACTTATTCAGTCGGTACATGTTTTTGCAATAACACAATCTTCACCCATCCAAGTCCTAAATGTACAAAAAACAACAAACAAAATGAATCTACATGAAATACATTAGCTTCCTTATTTTACTGTCATTGTATTACTATGACATTTATATCTTTTGAGACACGTTAAATGTCAAGATAACATTATTGAAAATGAAACAATACAAAGTCATTTGTGGCTTGACAATGACAAGGTGTAAATTTGTTTCGTCCTAATGTAACTCAACAAGCTTTTCAAAATTTCTGTTTTTACATTTACCTCCATTTTCACGTTTAACTATCCATGAGTATATTTCCCAGCTATATGTTCGATATGAAAGAAAGCCGTTATGTTAGTCGAAGCAGCTGGCCTACTGCGCCCAAGTTACAAATGATGACATCAGATAATTAGACAAAGTTTTGTCAGTATTGTCTGTTTTAGTGTAATGCTCGCAGGTCAAATTAATTAGTAACGTTTTCGGTAAAGTTGCATATTATACTAACAAAACATTACTATACAGATCAACACATGGATAGACGACGTTGTGGTAGCATACCCATCAATGGCCTCAGATTTCGTTGTTGGATATTCCTATGAAGGGACACCAATGCGTGCGCTAAAGGTTAGTCCATTAAACGTTAATTTTACGTCAGAATTAGTAACTTTCGTGCCGAAATAATGAACAAAATAAAGAAGTATCAATCAGTAATCGAAGACTGGAGGGAAATATTTCAATCTTGATTAAAATTCATTCCGAAAGCATTTCGCCAATGCTGAAACTTGTATACATGTTCGAGTTAATTTTCATTTACAATTCATCAGTTATTATTTTTTTACAGCTTGCAAGTACCGATGGATTGGCTTCTAAATTAGGCATTTGGTATCATGGCGGGATTCATTCAAGGGAGTGGATTTCACCAGCTACTGTCATGTTCATAACAACCCAGGTAGTGGAATCGTGAAGTCGAACTAACAGCACACGCAAACAATATACATATCCAACTATTAAGGGGGAACACAGAACAAAACGACAGACAACCGACAAAAACGAAACAACTGACAGTAAATATATGTAGACGGACAAATTTACGGAACAGCACGACAATACGCACATTTATATCTACGTGGAAACCAATCAGCCACTTAAATGTATATTATATGAAAATGTTATTGTTAATGAATTTATATACAGTTTTTGGAAGATTATGAGGTAGACCCGGATGTAAAGAAGATGTTCGACCAGTTTGAGTTTTATGTTTTACCAGTCTTGAACGTAGATGGGTACAATTACACTTGGGTCGAGGTAAGTATCGCAAGGTTAATAGTTTCCGCACGACATTCGAACAATAGAACACGCGGTTAATCTGGCCTTGGAGTATTTGGGTATCATTTTTGACAATGATAGCATTCCAAAACAGACTACCAATGATATGATGAATTGCTGACTTGCAGAGACTACCGTATTATGTAAAATAATAACATTGATTAACCCTTAATATTATCTTTAAAACAGAACCGCATGTGGCGCAAAACAAGATCACCAAACGAAGGATCTACTTGCATTGGTACTGATCCGAACAGGAATTACGATTTTATGTGGGGATGTAAGCGCTGATTTAAGCTTCCACTCTCTTTATGTATACCATCACGTGTTGCGCACCCATATAAATATATAATAATTACGCACATCTAAGTCTGTACACGAACACACACACGTTATATAACACCAGGTGTTCTTAAGACTTGAAGTACATTTCATTTAGTTGCCAGTGACAACCCATGTGCATCCGATTACCGTGGTGCGTCTGCCGCTTCAGAAGTAGAAATAAAAGCAGTCCAAGACTACTTGATGCAAGCGACCACGGAGCAAACCTTTGCGATGTCCATTGATTTCCACAGTTACAGCCAGTGGTGGGTGACGCCATGGGCATACACGAATGAAACAGCTCCCCACTATGTAGACCTGGTATGAATATTGATTTCCATGATCGAAGAGTATGAATTTAGCGGTACCTTTCTTTAACCATATAACAGTGTTTAAAAGTGAACACTCAGACAATTAAATGATAACAGTGTAACATTGTATTGATTTGGTAATTGAAAACTCACATATTTAAGTTGCACATTATCATCTGTAAAAATCCTCTCAAAAATGTTTGGGATTTGGGATTCAGAATCCAGAAATCGAAGTTAGAAGTCAACTGAAATACATGCAAATTACCCTTAGTGATTTTGACAATGCCAATTACCTTCAGTGCAAACTAACTCTAGTGCCTTAATCGTAATATAAGGAGGGAATACTATGTGATTGATGTATTCGTATTATAGGTAATTTGAATATATTTAACGTTTCAAATGTTTCACAGGATGCTAGTGCCGCTGCTGCAGTCACCGCCCTAGAATCAGTGCACGGAACTCAGTACCAGTCAGGTGCATTGATCAGTAAGTATACCCGTGGTAAATGAATTAAAGTTTATAAAGTAAGCATCGAGGAACAACGAATATGCTGATTGTTGGTAACAATAATAACTTGGAAGCAACGTACTTTTTCGAGTTATTGTTCCCGACATGTATATCAACGGCGTCTGCAACCATACCAGGTCGAATAAAAGCTAATTTCCCCCTGAAAGAAAAATTAAGAAGTTAATATAAACACATTCTTATTTTATGTAATATAACATAAGCAACTGTTTCTATATGCAGATGGTGGCTCCGGATTGGCTATGGATTGGTATTATGCTGAGGCGTTGATTAAATATTCATATTTGGTAGAGCTACGTGATACAGGAGAGTATGGTTTCTTGCTTCCAGAGGATCAGATTATCCCATCAGGTGAAGAGACATATGCAGGAATGAAAGCAGCAATTACGTATATTCTAAACCACGAGTTTTAGACATTATTCACATTACCCGGTGTTTAATGACG